CATAGTTCATTTCTTAAATGGGCTAAATCAAGCAAATTAAGAATATAAAATTTGGGACATTGCACATAGTAGTCTCTGTGGGATGATATTCGAACTTAATAAATCCACTTTATTATTTGTCACGATCCGTACGCTTGCGGAATTTCACGAACACACACAATTGACGGCACATATTTTTCAAAAAGAATTTTTTGAATTTGCTCATTTTGATTTCAAATCAACTGGTTACAAGTATCAAAATTAGGTGAAAAAGCAAAAAATGAAGAAATAACATAACGGTTAATACAAATCAAACAAATGGGAACGTGGAGGACTTCAAAAACTTCCAAGTGTCGAAGACTTAAAGGTCAGATTTGAAGCCAACACCTGCATCTGGAAGCCATTTCTGCCCATTAATGAATGATTTAACAGTAAACTTTTTACCCTGCTTAGTAGTAATATTGAGGTTCAATCCTTTCCAATCGACCCTATTTTTGGTCACAGCTCCAGGGCCAAAGTTCTGGAATTCAGCATAGAATATGGTGTCTGGTGCACTTGTGCCCACCCATGGCAACCACCCCTCTGGATCAATGAAACTTCCCATCATGCTTTGCAAGTAAACAGTTGTGGAGTAATTTTTCCAAGGCCTCCCCAAGAATGTGTCGACTCCAGTGAGATTTCCAGCGGGCAAAATGGTGCAATTTTGAATTGAAATTCCGGTGTTCTGATTCAGGTCGATCTTGCCTTGTGCAGTGATAGTGTTCTGTTGGCCAGGCATGGGCTTCTTGGGAAGAATGTTGCAGTTCTGGAGCACAACTGCTGCATTCCCGAAGATGAAATCGACTGTGCCATATGTGCTGCATTCACTATAGAATTGGCGATTGGAATGTGAGTAGAGAGTATCTTGGAATGCGTCTATATTGCTCCGGTAGAAGACAGAAAGATCAGCAGTCGACATCAAGGCCACTGCCTGATGCTTGGAAGCTCCAGCAGTGTTGCGGAAACCCATGTCTCGAGCTATAAATCCTTGTCCAAACACAGCTATATAGAAAAACCAAAACATAATTTCATTAGCTAATATATAGTCTATTGTAATGTCCCAAGTCCTATTAGTAATAGCTCTAAGTAGAAGCAAGAAGGATTGGGGGTGGCGGTTCTGTCTGGTTACAATGGATTTCTAAAGCTTTACTGAGCCTCACCAAATGTTGCAGATTGAAATGTGGGAGTTCCATCAACGAAATTGAGGCTGCCAGAAACATTGGTTTCATCCTGTCCATAGCCAAGGATCATAACATTCCATTTTGTCTTCTCGACCCTAACATTTTCGACATAAAGTCCCTTCTTCACATAGACGACAAATCTCTTTTTACTCTTCTCCGGCACAGCCTCAAGGGCTGCTGAAATAGTCTTGTATTTTCCAGAGTCATCTTTCGCCACCACGACATCTGCCTTAATCTTTGAACTCGGAGCTTGCAGAAGTTTCCTGTCCTTAAAAGACAACCAATTTGGCTCTGCACTGCCACTGAAACTCATCAAACGATTCCTTCCAATCCCCCCCAATGAACCAATAGACTCTTCAATTGAGATAATGATGGCCCCACTATTGCTAGTATATTCAGTGGAATTCTTAAGGTTTTGAACCATAATACTAATCAATCCATTTGAGGCGTTTTCAAGGCCATCTATGCATGTCTGCTGATAAGTACCTGCATAACTCAACCACGTTCTGAGATCTTCAAACGCCTCGAACAATTTCATGTCCTCTATGGACAGAGATTTATTAAGATGATCCAGTGCAAGAGAAATCTAACAGGATTGAGCTGAGAAATATTTCCAGTGTTTAATTCATTTGGTATCCACATATATATATACAAGCAAGGACCAAAGAATAATGAGGTGGCTATCCTAATTTAGAAGATTACAAGAATAAATCAAATATACTCCAAATATTCTAAATATAGTTTATACAGCGTGTCTGATCTGTTAGGCCCCCTCAAGATGGTGCTCCAGTGGTGACACCAATCTTGAGTGAAAGACCCTGGAGCCGATAACGAGAGAGCAGTTTAGTTAGTGCGTTTGCCAACTGATCTGTGGAAGAAACATGAGAGACTCGAAGGTGACCACTTTGCACTAGTTCACAAACAAAATGATAGTCCAGAGCAATATGCTTCATGCAGGAATGGAAGACTGGGTTGGCGCATAAATATGTTGCACCAATGTTGTCACTATAAAGAGTCGATGGAGCATGGACTGAGACACCAAGTTCATCAAGTACAGAACGTACCCACTGAAGTTCAGCCGCGGCAGAAGCAATTGCCCGATACTCAGCTTCTGTGGAAGAGCGAGTAACAGAACGTTGCTTCTTTGAACTCCAAGAGATAGGATTAGGACCAAGAAAAACAATATAGGCACCAGTAGAGGTACGATCATCAGGATCACCCGCCCAATCTGCATTACAAAAGGCATGAAGAGACAGAGAGATGTGGCGTTGCAATCAAATACCATAGGATCGTGTACCATTGAGGTACCGAAGGAGATGCTTAACAACTTCCCAATGATGAGTTGTCGGAGCATGCATGAACTGGGATAACTTGTTGACAGCAAAGGCAATGTCAGGATGACAAATGAGTAGCTACTGTAAGCTGCCAGCTATCTAGCGATAGAGAGTTACATCCGCAGGTGGAGAACCATCATGGAGTTGCAAGGGAGAGGAGATGGCAAACGGCGTCTGAATTGGTTTAGAGTTTCCCATGTTGTGCTTGGTAAGAATATCCAGAAGATATTTCTACTGAGTAAGGCGTAGGCCCTCTGGACAAGAAACAACCTCAACACCAAGGAAATAGGATAAAGCCACAAGGTCCTTGATCGAAAAACGAGAGCCCAACTGATTAACAAAATTCTGGACAGCCATATCATTACTCCCCGTAAGAATCAGGTCATCAACATATACCAGAAAATATATGGTAGTCTCCCCTTGACGATAAATAAAGAGTGATGCATCTGACAAGGAATTGATGAAACCAACCTCAAGAAGAAAGCGACGCAATTGATTGTAGCACGCTCGAGGAGCTTGTTTAAGACCATATACGGCTTTGTTGAGCTTGCACACATAGGTGGGAAGATTAGGATCAACAAAACCTAGCGGTTGATACATAAAGACATTTTCATCCAGTGGACCTTGAAGAAATGCATTATTAACATCCATCTGACGAATAGACCAACCACGGGAAATCGCCAAGGAGAGAAGAACCCGAACCGTGGTAGGTTTTGCCACTGGGCTAAACGTGTCGTGAAAGTCAAGTCCTGGTCGTTGATGAGAGCCCTTCGCTACAAGCTGAGCCTTGTATCGATCAATGGTGCCATCGGGTTTCTGCTTGATACGAAAAACCCACTTACAGCCAACTATATTCTGAGATATATCAGGAGGTACCAAGTCCCAAGTACCATTGTGAAGTAGAGTATCGAACTCTTCAAACATAGCTGCATGCCAATGAGAATGTTTGAGAGCTTGAGTGTGAGAGGTAGGCTCATTGGTAGCAACGGTGAGGCTATACTTTGGATTCGGTTTGACGATGTTATTCTTAGATTGAGTTACCATTGGGTGGAGAGAAGTGGGAAGTGATGGAGTCGGTGAGGCACTATGGGAAACATTCTGTGGAATGACATTAGGAGAGGAGGTCACAAGAGATAGCTCAGGGAAAGTGGTCGGCGAGAGATTTCTGGATGTAGGAATGGGAGTTGAATTAAGCAAGAAAACTTCGGCAATATGTAAAGGTCATGGGACTAGTAAAGGATAACCTGACACAAAGGCCCCCTCGGCCATCTCCAACGGTACCATATCCGGCAATCCACCGCGGGAATCAACATCAACACTGGCCAAAGAGGATGACTGAAAAGGAAACATAGATTCAACAAATACAACATGACGAGAGACATAAAGTTTTCGAGATGACATATCATAGCATAGATAAGCACTCTGAGTAAGGGAGAAACCAAGAAATGCACAAGGACGAGAACGAGATTCCAATTTGTGAGATGTATAGGGACGTAGCCAAGGATAACAAAGACACCTGAACACCCGAAGTTTGGAAAAGTTAGGAGGAGTTTGAAAGAGACACTCAAAAGATGATTTCATGGATAAGTTGCGCTTGGGCATACGGTTAATAAGGTAGACAGCGGTAGCAAATGAAAAGGGCCAAAACGAGGAGGGGATGGATGTTTGATGAAGTAACGTTAAACCGATTTCAACAATGTGGCGATGTCTGTGTTCTGAAAAACCATTATGTTCAAGTGTGTGAGGTGGGGTGGTTAAATGGGAGATACCATGAGTCCCAAGGAAATTTCTGAGAGTTATATATTCTCCACCATTGTTTGTATAGAGTGTGGCAATAGGTCGATTGAAACGTTTTTCCACAAGTAATTTGAAGCATTTAAACACAGCTAGAACATCAAATTTATTTTTAAACGGATATAACCAGATATATTTGGTATAATGTTCAACAAAAATCACATAATATTTGTAACCATCACATGATAAAACAGGGGAAGTCTAGACATCCGAAAACACCAAATAAAGGGGAGAGTTGGAGACAAGTGAAGAATCATGAAATGGTAATTTGTGACTTTTAGTGCATAGACAAGCGTTACGATGAAAATTATTCGACGGACTAGAAGAACATGACACAAACTTGGACAATGACAATTGATGCATGACCCTGTTGGAGGGATGACCTAAACGACTATGCCATAAGGAAAATGATCATGGGATGCAAAAAAGGCCAGTTTTGACACTGACACACCCGACGATGAAGACCAAGAGTAGATACCGCCTTTAAGTGGACCTTGATGGAGGATGGCCCCCGTGCGAGGATCCTTCACCTGAAAGTGTGTTGGAGTAAAAACAACAATAACATTGTTAGTCAGGCATATTTGGGAAACAGACAACAAATTTTTTTTCATTGAAGGTACACAAAGAGCATTGGAGAATTTAAGGGAAGAAGGGTTATAAGGAAGAAAGAGAACCTATGTGGGTAATGTTCAAGCCGGCACCGTTGCCAACGACAACATCATCTGAACCCTCATATGGAGAATGGAGTGAGAGATTAGTAAGGTCTGTTATCACATGATGTGTGGCACTCGAGTCCGAAATCCAGTCAGACGAGGATGGAGCAAAGGAAGAGGCTGCAACGTTAGCTTGAGGGGAAGCATAATTGAGCCTGATTTGAGGCCGTGTTGCCGTCGAACCAGACCATGACAAATGTTTAAAAGTCGAACACCGCTTAGCAGAATGGTCGTGTTGGTCGCACAGTTGGCAGAGCCCAAGGTAAGGACGAGGGCCACGTTAACTTTGTGGCTGTGGTGGGTGTCGAGAAGTCCATGTCCCAGAAGATCAAAAAGAATTAGGCTGTGGCAAACCCATGAAGCGACAATGTGATCTGTTCGGTGGACCAGACTTTACAGCAGCATTGGCAGTGACTGGGAAGGTAATTTGGTTACTCTTCTTGGCTGCAAGGTGAGCATCGCGGTTGAGGAGCTTTCCATGCAGCTCTTCAAAGGAAATGGCTGTCTCTCGTGAGAATCAAGGCCAGTGAGATTCTCAATGTCAACTGGGGCATTTAGCATAGCAAGTTCATCCACTTTTGCTTTGATATTGTGCATAAACTCAGTGATCGACTGGGAGCCTTTGATCGGGTGACTTAGTTGAGTTTTCAAATGGGTTATGCGACCATGCGTCAGTTTTCCATATGTGAGGGCCAAGGTCGACCAAGCATCACGAGATGTTCGAGCGGTTGTGATGAACGTAATCAGAGTTGAAGACAACGAACCAATTATAGCATTCAAGATTAGTTGATCTTGCTGTACCCATGCGTGATGTACGGGATTAACGATTGTCACTCCATTTACCATGGTGGTTTGCTCAGGACATGGGTGTGTGCCATCAACAAATTGGAGCAGATCATAGCCGGTGAGAAGAGTGGTGAATTGCAGGGCCACAAAAAATAGTTCGAGGCGGTGAGCTTCAATGGCGCTTGCGCAGCAACATTGAGTGCAATGACTGTGGACATGATACGTTGATTGGTTAGAGGAGTGCCTGCAGTGACTGGTGGAGACGTGACATCAGCATCTGTGGACTGATCCGAGGGGAAGACATGCACTGGTAAAGACTGGGATTCCATAGGAATAGAAGCAAGACGCAAGCAACAATGGTGGTGAAAAAAAAATTATGATTTGGTGTAGGCGTGAGACAATGGCTCTGATACCATAACATGATTGAGCTGAGAAATATTTCTAGTGTTTAATTCATTCGGTATCCACAGATATATATACAAGCAAGGACCAAAGAATAATGAGGTAGCTATCCTAATTTAGAAGATGACAAGAATAAATCAAGTATACTCCAAATATTCTAAATATGGTTTATATAGCGTCTCTAATCTGTTAAAATCAATTATTGGCAACTTTCCAAGGCAGCAACTGTCATTTTATCTGTGATATTGAATTTCTTGATTCCATCATCAAAGAAATCTTTTGAGGCCATAGAAAGCACGTTCATCGCGACTTGGACTGACAATTTGTAGATATCTTCGGGCTTGAAATTGTCAGACTTCACAAGAGGAGACATGATATTGTAACATGAATCTGGATACAAAGTAACATTGCACAATGCTTTGATAGTACAAGACATGGACTTATTTTCGCCCCCAAATTTGCCAATTTTGCTTTGAGTTACTCCAACCACAGTAGCCACAACAGCAGCTACAAGAACAATGGAAGATAAGCCAATGATTGTGATTCTATGTCTCGTTTTTCTTCGTGCCATGAGCCTCGCTTCTGCTTCATTGGGTTTTTCTATTGTTGTTAGAGAATCTGATTGCTTGTTTGAAGTTGGTAAAATGGCTTTGCATATATAGACACTGGCATATGTGCATCAAATTGCTAACTCGGATTTACGTGCAAATCATGAATTTCAAGTTGTGAAAGATAGTTTCAGATGCGAAGTGCCTATCATGTTTTGAGATGTAAAGGAATTTATGCCACCATTTAAGAATAAGCACAAGTTGTATTATTATACAACAACTAATCATGAGAATTCAAATTGTACATATATTGAGGGAATGAAATATATTATTTTGGTACAATATAAAAGGTTCCACGAGGTGTGTTGTGTGCATGTCTCGAATACCGTGTCCACATTGCATAGTATTAGGATCAATTTGACAGGACTTCTGTTTTTATTTTTACTTTTCGTAGAAGAGTTTTATAATGAAGTTACCTTAAATCAATTTTCTCTACGAACTCTTCTGACAAGAGAAGTGGATTATGCAAGCATGTTTTAAACTAGTTTCTTAATCTCAAAAACAGTTATTGATTTTTCAAAAATCATACCAAACATGCCTTTAATCGTGTTAATATAACAAGAGAACCTGTGTGCTCATGGACAATAATCCTATGTAAAAGGAGAATTAGAAGTTGAAGAAAGAAGAGTTAGTTCCTATGTAAAAGAAGTTCTAACTATGGAATGTAGAAGAGAGATAATGATTATAAATACGAATTATTCTATTTGTACAGAATTAATGTACAATAAAGCATTACAAATACACAAGTGTATACACTGCATTGGCTATCACAAATTTGTTTTTGGTCCAAGGCCCAATGAATGCTTGCCACATGTATATCCAGAGATAGACATGGTTTAATTTGGTTTTCGTTCCTGGAGAACCGAACCGAACTGAACTATGAACTAATTATTTTTTGATAATGGAATCAAATGGTTTTTTAAGATATGGAACCAAATCGGAACCGAACCATTCGGTTCTAATTTAGTTTGGTCTTATTTTCATTTCTTAAATTTTCAGACTTGAACCATATCTGTAAATTAGTAATATATACCTAAATAAAAAAAAAATCAAACAATGAGCAAGTTTAAATTATCGATTATCAATATCACAAAAGTCCAATCTAACAAACAAGTATAGTCATAATTTGAATACACAAATCAATTTTCATTCACATACAAAAGATTGTCTAATAAGTAATAACAATAATTTACTAAATTATTTGCAGTAGTTTTGATGACATACCCTTACAATAAATGATGATTTATACAAAACTATTACAATCCACTTTTATAGAAACCATTAACCATTTAATACTCCATGGATGTTAAATTGTTAATTGGATTTTCCTCTATTTTTGAAGAACAAAAATAATTCATCCAACATTCAAGTTGAAAAAAATAGTTTTAAATGTTTTTTAAAGTGACAAACTAATTCCATTTTTCGATTTTAAAAGAGTCTATTCCACTGACGTGATTAAATACGCTGTCGACGTACCACGGCATTGTGTAAATTGAAAAGGGGTGTAAGAGAAATGAAATTAAGTTTGGTTCTGATTCAACTAGAACTGAAGAACCAGAAACAAAACCAAAACCAAATGGTTCTCGGTTCAAAAAACCAAAATCATTAATTTTTTTTATTTAACCGAATCGAACCACTCGGTTTGGTTCGGTTTGATCTAGACATTATGTTCACCTCTATGTGTATATGTAATGCTATTTGAACATCTCTTCTATACATGTAGCAAAGTCTTTAGAAATATATATATTTCTCTGTTCTCAAACCCTATTTTGATAATTATTATTCTTTTGTAAGGTTCGACTTTTATCCAATAAATACTTTTTGGAGTCTTGAATTTTTCCAATAGATACATTGCGTCCCAATATTTTATAGTGGAGAATTGTTTGGAGTTTGACGCAGATGTAAATATATTGTCAAATTACGTAATTTTTTCTCATTAATCTTGCTCAATATTTTCTTTTGATTGTATGTTTCATTCTGTTCTCTCTCTGGGAGTGCGCCGTTATGAGGGTTTTCTCTATTTTTTATCCCTCTATAATTCTTTAATTTGAGAAGGTGATCTGTAATATTGTAGCCTCTTTGTGATGATATTTTGAGTGAATATCTGTTAGGAAGTGTTTGTACTTCTAATTTATTGATTCTGAGGTTCTGAAGTGATTCTTTATGGTTCGTGTAGATCGATTGCTGTGTTTTAAGAGAGAGATAAGGGGTTGTAGGTGTTAGAAGCAGTCACCGAACATCCGGGGCTTAGGCCGAAATATATCGATTGTGTTCCTTTAATTTTCTACACTTTATTTTAGAGAAGATTTTCGTATTTTTGTTTCTTAGTCTATTATTGTGTGTTCCTGGCCTAACAGAAAATTTCAGTATCTTTTCTCACTTCAAAAGTTGACTTATAAGTTATAAGAAATAAGCATTCAACAAGGTGTGAAGTGGGCTCATAATGGGCTTGACCCGGCCTACCATTTGCAGTCCTAGTACAATGAACATTTGGAAAAAGGAAAATTAGACTTACTACCCTGCAAAATTAAAGAAATTTAATAATACTCTATTAACTAATTAAAACATTTAATTGTGTAATTATTACGTTTCCAAAACCTCTGCCCAAACCAATACCCCCGATTCCCAATTTCAGAAAACTCCCAATCCATTACAACCAGTTAGAATCTAATATAATTCTGAATAAAACTTCAATACCATCTGTTCCATTACTTTCTCTATTTATATACAGCCGAGTCTAGCTTGCTATACATACAAGAACCTTCTAGAATTGAGTTGCCAAGTGGCTAATAGAAACTGAACATAATTCTTGAAATTCAGGTACAAAATCAGCCAGCTGCATGAAGGTTGTTATTCTGTTTTGCAGCTGATGGAAGGATTCTAACACCCCCTCTTCAAGGTGGAGTGTATTCTATCACTCCAAACTTGTCTCTATGTATTAGAAATCTTGAATGTGTAAGAGGTTTGGTGAGTAAGTCAGCTGTTTGTTCAGATGATGGCACATAGTTTATTTAAGTTCTTCGTTCAGTACTTTATCTCTTACAAAGTGAACGTCACGTTCAATATGTTTCATGCATGCATGATAAATCGGATTTGAGGCTAGAGCACTTGCACTTAGATTGTCACACCAAATACTTGGAACTGATTGCTGAGGTATTCCCAATTCTTTCATCAAGGATTGGATCCATGAAATTTCTGATTTCTGTAAGCTAGAACCCTATTCTCAGCCTCTGTCCTTGATCTGGCAACAATGTGTTGCTTTTTAGAAGACCAAGATACCAAGTTGTCCCCAAGATACACACAGTAACCTACAGTAGATCGCCTATCATCTGGACATGATGCCTAGTCGAAATCAGCAAAGGCAGTTATGTTAAGACTATCATTCCTTCAAATAAAAGTCCATAATTTAGTGTGCCTTTCAAGAACCTAAATAACCTCTTAGTACCTTCCAATGAACATCAGTAGGTGTTTGAAAAGATTGACTTAATTTGTTAACTGAATAAGTCATATCTGGTCTTGTATGAGCTAGATATTGAAGTCCTCCAATAGCGTTTCTATACAAGGTTGGATCTTTCATAGGTTGTCCCTCATTTCTTGAAATTAGTTTTCCTCCAGCCATAGGTGTTAGGCTCTCATACCCCAATCTTTTAAGCATGTCGACAGCATACTTTATCAGTCTTAGATATAAGCCAGTTGCATCTTTGTGCACCTCTATTCCTAGAAACTGACTAAGGCTTCCCATGTCTTTGAGGGCAAAGCATTTGTTCAGCTTGCCAATAAACTCTTGCACCTGTTGAGAGTTATTGCATGTTACAACTATATCATCTACATAAACTAAATCAAACAACACATCCTTTTTGTTTGTCAGGAAGAATAATGAATTGTCAACTTTAGATTGTCTGAACTTCCAGTCTAACAAGGTGCCTTTGAGCTTCTCATGCAAAGCTCTTGGGGCATGTCCCAGCTTATACAAGGCTTTCTCCAATTTGCATACAAAATCAGGATTTTCCTCATCTACAAATCCATGTGGCTGATTCATATAGACTGTTTCATTCAACTTGCCATTCAAGAAGGCATTGTTTACATCTACTTATCTAATCTCCCAATCCTTAGACACGACTAGTGTTAAGATAATTTTCAGAGTTGAAGTCTTAATAACAGAGCTAAATGTTTCACCAAAGTCCACTCCAGGAGTTTGAAGGAATCCTTTTGCAACTAACATTGTATTATGCCTTTGAATTCTACCATTTGAATCATAGTTGAGTCTAAATACCCATTTGTTGCCAATTACCTTCATACCAATTTCCTGAGGCACAAGTGTCCATGTTTTGTTCCTGATTAGTGCACTATACTCTTCTTGCATAGCTTTCTTCCAATTTTTATTCATTATGGCTTCTTCAATAGTGATTGGTTCAGTTTCTACTAATTTTTCTATTGTCTAAGTTAAGTAAACTTTTGGTTTGTAGATCCCAGCTTTGCTCCTAGTGATCATTTGGTGTCCAGTGTTTTGAATTGCACTTGTGTTCTCAGTATCACCCTCAATATTGCAATCTCCAGACTGTGTTTCAGTCACCTCATGACCATCATGTTCTTCTTGATTTGCTTCAACCTCACTACTTTCTATACCTTCTTCACCCCTACTTCCAATTCTCACATCTTTATTTGAGAAGTCTGCAGTAGGTGGAGCATCAAGATGTACTGTATCAGTGACAGATTGAGCCGACACATAAGTAGTTTCTATAGCAAAGCGAAAAAAGTCTACAGAATTTTCAGGAGTTTGTAACTTCACTCGTTTATTTATGAAGCCTACTTTGAAGGAAAAATCAAGTTCATTGAATAGCACATGTCTTGATATATAGACTCTACCACTTTGACTTAAGCACTTATATCCTTTTTGTGAATCACCATAGCCAAGGAATACACACTTTTGGGAATGAAAATCGAATTTATGTTTTTAATAGGGTCTGAGGCAAGGATAGCAGGCACAGCCAAAATTTTTTAGCATTTTGTAGTCAACTTCTTTTCCCAAAAGTACTTAGTATGGTGATTTGTTTTGGAGTAGAGGGGTAGGCAGTCTATTTATTAGATAAGCTGCTGTTTTGAATGACTCCCACCAGTAATATAAGGGCATTTGAGCTTGTGCTAGAAGTTTTAACCCAGTTTCTGTAACGTGTCTATGTTTCCTCTCAGTTCTGCCAGTTTGAACAGAAGTATATGGATAAGAATGTCTATGTTTAATGCCAAAATATGATGCAATTTTGCTAAAGTTCCTGAACTCTCCCCCCAGTCTGATTGTAATGTTTTACTTCTTTCTACTTTGTTTTCTACTAATGTTTTGAACTGGATAAAGATACTTAATGCCTCATATTTGAGTTTCATAGGGTATATCTAGGTAAACCTACTATAGTAATCAACAAAAATTATATAGTACTTAAATCCAGAGGTAGAGTTCAAAGGAGTTGGTCCCCAAAGATCAGAGTGCACGAGTTCTAAGGGTATTGATGCATGTGATAGGGATATGTTAAACGGTACTGCATGAGCTTTGCCAAGTTTGTAAGATTCACAGAAGTTTGGTCTTTCACGAACATTTACAGATTTATTACAAGCCTTGAAAACTTGATTCAGCACATGGTTAGAAGGATGGCCTAATTTCCTATGCCAAACATCAAGTTTAGACTCTGAGAGTTTGACACTACAGGTTGACTCATCACAACTGGTACTCACTATGAAACAGTTGCAATTATTTGACTGACTCAACTCTATGGTGATGGTTTGTGGCTTTAAACTTGGCAACATCAATTGATACAATCTATCCTTAAGCGTCCCTAGCAGCAGTGTCTTCCTCGTTCGCATATACTTAACAACATAAAAGTTAGAGAAAAACTTCATAAATACATTGTTATCTTTGGTAAGATGTGAGACACTAATCAGGTTCTTTTTTATTGAGGGAACATGCAACAGTTTATGCAATTCAAGATGTTTCATATCCAATGTAGGAATGTTTCCATTTTCAGTGTAAGTAATATGCAGTGATTTTCCATTACCAACTAGCAATTTTTGCTTACATACATATCTTTTAACATTTTGTAGGTTACCTTTCTCAGCTGTCACATGGTTGCTCGCCCCTGAATCTACAAACCAAGCTGGATCTTCAAGTACTCTTGGTGAGGCTACATAAGCTGATGGTGCTGAGTTGTCGTTCTGATTGCTTTGGTTGCTTGGCTTGCTCCCCATATATCTTTCATCGTATCTATTGAAGTACCAACTGGCAGAATGGTTGTTTAGTCCACAAATTTAACGAGGTCCTCTATTTTTATTTATCTTCCACCTCTTCCTCTTCCTCTGGTTCTGCCTCTGAAGTTCATTGATCTACCACTGTTGAAACCTCTAAAGGCTTTACCATTGCCTGGACTAGTTCTTTGGGCTAGTTGTACACAAGATTGACTAACACTCATAGATGTAAAATTGTTCCTGACTTGATTCAAGTACTCGAGATGACTTTCAAATGTCATTAACATTGAAGACAGTTAGTGCCAGGATATATTTTCTCTGCTATTAACTTGTACTACTATAGGTGTGTATTCTTCATCTAGCCCTGACAACACTTGAGTTACAAGGTCACTATGATCAATAGTCTTCCCAACTATCTCTAGATTGTTAGCTAACTGTTTGATTTTTGTGAAGTATTAATCCATGGACATTGAACCTTTCCTAGTCCTTTGCAGTTCACCAGTGAGAAAACCCATCCTTGATTTGTTCAGTACACCATAACTTTCTTCTACTACAGTCTATAGCTTACTGGAACTCGAACATCCTATGACTCTCATAACTATTTCAGGAGTCATAGACGAGTATAGCCATCCCATTAGCAGTTGATCAGTCGAAACCTACCGATTATACTCAGGATTCTGATTCATCTCCACTGCATCTCCTTGACCGACAGTGGTTTGTGTTGCTAGAAATTCTGGTGGGCATTCCTTTATTCCCAACAAGTATCCTTCTAGATTATGTCCTTTAATTATAGGCATAATCATGTTTTTCCATAACATGTAGTTGTTCCTATCAAGCTTCACTGATGAAGTTTGAGTGAGATTATTCCAACCGGTGAGAAATGATTTATAGCAACCTGTGCTACTGGTGTCATGCCAAAATCAGTTGGACCAGATTGATTGCATGCGCTGGTGTTAGCCATATTTGCTTTGATACCAAGTTAGAATCTAATATAACTTTGAATAAAACTTCAATACCATTTGTTCTATTACTTCCTCTATTTATATACAGTCGAGTCTAGCTTGCTATACATACAAGAACTTTCTAGAATTGAGCTGCCAAGTGCTAATAGAAACCGAACATAATTCATGAAATTCAAGCACAAAATCAGCCAGCTGCATGAAGGTTGTTATTCTATTTTGCAGCTGATGGAAGGATTCTTAACACAACCAAAAAAATCCTCAACCATGCCATGACTCTACTCTTCTTCGCGCTTTGTATGGTTGCACGAGGGCAACGGTGAAGCTTCAATGCAACAACACCCAGTACCATCTAGATGTGCAGCAAGTTCCCACAAGTGCAATGTGCTTTTAATTTCTTCGATGTCAACTACTAGATGTGTCACTTTTTTTTATGGACGTTTTATTAACATTTAGGAGTTTTGTTCAATAATTGACTTTTTAGCACTTTATATATACATTTTGATGATTCATTAAAATAATTTATCGTTTCATGGTATATAGGTTTTCATCTTTCCCTATCAAAATGTCTGTTTTAGGGTATATAGGTTTTCCATTTCCCCTTTCAAAATGTATGCTTAACACAAGATTTTACATGTTTGATTTTATTTTATTTTAATTTTTTTATGGAGTCTTAATTTGCATATAAATTTCCAAATCATACATAAAAGTTCCAATGGTTCTAATACCAAGTGTAGTCGATTATAAAAATGCGTAATTTTTCACTCTTTGTGGGTGTATGTTGAGTTATGCAGATGGTAGTGGTTTATGTCGAGTCATGCTTGTTCTTGATTGATCACCATATGTGGTTTTCGATGGTGCACAGGTTGATCTAAGCCGCTATTGTTGATAATGGTGATGTGGTTGATGTCCAAATCTTCATAGAACATGGCCATGAAATTTTGGTGGTCTAGAACTAGGCAATAGAAGAGACTAATGTAGCCTGCTCAGATATATCATTTTTCTACAACCAGAAGAGTTCGCTATTTATAACTATTTTGGATTTCAACAGACTTTTTTCCTGTGGATTAGAGAAAATGTTTTGTAGTTATTTATTGTAAACAAGTTGTTGGCGTTACCAATTGAAAAACTAAAGATGTATCCAATGTAATTGATTGTGTCACTTTTTTTCTAATTTATGTCATTTTATTGAACTGATTCTAACGTTTTAATTTGTTTTGTCACTTTTTTGAATTTTAGAGGGCCTCAACCTTTGACTTTTCTTTTGATGGTTGGCTCCACATGGTTGCCACATATGCTTGAAATAGAGTCTCAATAGCAAGTCGTAACAATTATCATTATTATTATTATTATTATTATTATTATTATTATTATTAAGGAAAATTTCAGTCAAGGTTACCTTTCAATTAGTTGTAGACTTTTCTCAAACCTTTCATTTGACACTCACGGTACCAAACATTTAAAAATATCGCAGTTTCAGTCCTCATTGACGGTTTCCATCTGTTTGATCACCAAAATCGTTAGTTAACCCCAGAAATTAGAAAAAGATTATAATTTCCACCAAATAGACCAGAACAATTTCGAAATTACACACTTTTCCTATCTATTATTGCACTTAACTATTCACTTTCTCTCCATTTTCATCACTATTAATATCCTTCTCTCTCCAACAATGTTAAAAAGGAAATAAATCAAATTATGCACTTTTTTCAAATTGTTGAGTTTAATTAGACCGTTCATAAATAGTTGTCTCATCAATTCCAAATCACATCTGTGTGGTATCACATATAAAATGGCACATTAATTGAAGCAAAACTACAAAAAGAAAAGGGAAACTCACTCTAGAATCTGTAGCATTAGAAGAACCCACCACTCTCGGTGAGGTGACCGAAAATAAAGGTAAAAATCGGGGCTCTGAATCCCTTGACGTATTCGCCGGTGATGTGTGCAAGTAAAATCCCTTTTCTTTAATTGCCTTGTCCTCTGCTGCCCTGTTCAAATTGCTAGCTCCATCGTTTGGTGGTCGATTGAATGGGTCGGGTATCAGAGGTGTAACCGAGCAGAGCGCCAGAGATGGGAAATCAAGAATACTGGTAGATAGAACTTCGGAGTTCCCATTTGGGGCTAACTCGAGTATCCAGACAAGAATCTGGGTCTCGTGTTCACCAGTCCAGATGCAAGAGGGTTGATCTTAAAGTCCTTGAGACTGTTTCTTAGCTCGTACAACTTGGAGGTTGACTTATCCTTCTTCAGCCCAATCTTGATGGGAGGAATCGTGTTCTTCGTCGGGTTTGGTCGGGAGGAATGTAAGACCATCTCGGTGGATCCTATGAGCATTTGAACCACTTGCATGAAAATTGAGGGAAAATGAACATTGAAGTGCAATAATAGATAGGGAAAGTGTGTAAATTCTGAAATTACTCGTCTATTTGGTGGAAATTATAATTTTTTTTTTATTTTTGGGGTCAACTAACGATTTTAGCGGTCAAACAGACGGAAACCGTCAATGAGGACTGGAGCTACGATTTTTTAAAGATTTGGTGCTATAGGTGGCATAAATAAAAGGTTTGGGCAAAATCTGCAACTAACTGAAAGGTTTGGTATATTGGCTGCAACTTTCCTTTATTATTATTTTGTGTTACTTTCTTGAATTTTTTGCCACTTTTTTTAGTAATAAACATCAATTTTTTAACAAAAAGTGACATTGTATTACTTAATTTTACATGTTATTTTTTTACTTCTTTTTTCTCTCACTTTCTTGAAATTTTGGTCACTTATTTGAGTGACAAATATCACTTTTTTATAAAATGATGTGACATTATATGCCACTTGTTAATAAAATGTGTCACTTAACTTTAAAAAAATGACATTGTGTCATTTTTTAATAAAAAAGTAACATTTAATTATTAAAAACTGACGCATAATTTTAAACCGTGTTTTTTACTTTCAAAACACATTTCATTAGACTTTTCAAAACATCCCCAATTTTAAGAATATTTTTATAAGTTGACCATTGAAAAATTCCCAAGACCCAAATATCTGGGCCATTTTTATTTAGGCCCGAGATTAAACTTTAGCCATAAGAAAGTTAAAATTTTATAAGTACGCAATCGATCATTAAATCCAAAAAATCTGAAACTAAAAGTACAACCATAGTTATACACAAATATATGAATGATTATTAAAAATAAGGAGTGTAAAGAAGAGGGAATGAAGGATACCCAAATCTAGTTCGAAGTTTGGCTGGGGAGATTCTTGGTAAGGGGACTGAACATTGGCGGTTTTGAACTGAAAACAACAAATTGCAAAAATATCAACGTTGTATTTGCCACGTCACATATAACATCTTCGTAATTCTCAGCAATCAAAGAGGATAAGTTCAAGTTCGACCGAGTCAACGCATTGACGCAGAACTCTGTCACTTCAAAACATGCCGGATTCTTCCATTCACACCACAAAACAAAATGCAATTTCATTTCCTAAAATTTTAATAGCAGTCGAAGAAATCGAATTGCACAATATGGATAGTTGTGTGGGGGAATGGAATAAAGAGGTATGGATAATTGCATGGAGAAATGGAGAAGAATCAAGTGAGAAGAAGAAAAAGAAATGGCTTAAAAGATGCAGCGATGTCATACTTACCTATGAATGATGTCTAATGAGCAGTAACTGACGTGAATAGTGAAAATCAACTTTCCTCTTTTATGATTGTAGGGATTTTTGACCTTATGAACATCTAAACCGTTCGTGCATTGGCGTGCCATGGAGGATCATGCAAGTGCTTGTGACCGAATCATCACTTGGTGTACACCCATGTAATGATAATGGCACACGTGCACATGAATTATGAATTGGGACAAGGGACATTTCGTACATTATCATGTTTATTTATAGATGTTTCTCTGTGTTGTTTGTTTGGGTCCGTTTCCTTAGAGGATTGTATTGCAAAAGGGGAACACAAAACTGAAGGCCCATCGGTTAATTGTCATGCCCTAAACCCACTTTTAATTTAAACATTTTTGGTAAAAAAAAAATTGATTTCTTCTCTTCAATAAAGTCCATATTTGTTAGTAGTAATCTTAACACCCGTTTGGCCCCCATTATTTCCCATTAAATTATAATTCATTTTTTTTCCTCTTTTTATCAACCACACATTCTCCAATAAAATAATATTACATGTAAATTCAAAACGTATTTCCTTTTTTTTAACCACACATTCTCCAAAAAACTACTATTCTTCTCATTTTAATTTGAAATAATCGGGGCCAAACGTGGACTTAATCCTAAAAGCACTTTGCTAGTGGGATCCTTGTAATGATCTTAAGGTCTCATCAAGAGTGGAGAAAATAAGCAAAATGTGTGTGAGAGCGCTTGCTGACAAGGGTTGGGACAATGAGTGTCACTTTGACATGAAAAGAGAGCCTTTCATTTATTCAAACGCTTTGACATGAGTTATCTGTATACTGTTTGCTTATGTCATGTTTAATATGCAGCAATTATATGTACGGTATTCATCAGTATTATAACAATATTACAACTTTATTTTCTTATTTACACGTTGTTTAGTTCTTGTTTATGCCTTTTTTTTTTGTCAAAATTTATTTTCAATCACATATTTTCTCATAGAATAATTTCATAAAATAATTTTACATGTAAATTCAATTTTTTTTTATGATACATTCTCCAAAAAATTAATATTTCAAAACAAATATCCCATAAAAAATGGGACTCAAATTGGAGTTTATATCATCTAATTCACATTGTTTTCAAACGTATCATTAATTCATAAATCCTTGTTCATTAATTCAAAGATGACATTAGTGCACTCCCCTGTTGGTTGCTATTTTTTTTTTTTTTTTTGGAAAATATTATTTTAATTAGTAATTTTTTTTAGAATATATGATTAAAAAGTAGGGAAAATTTTTGAGTTTATGTGTAGTGTGAATGTGTGGTTGAAAATGAATATTAAAAAAAAGAGTTTTGAAAAATTGGTTGACAAGGAATATATGACAAGATTGAATAATACAATATAAAAAACTTTAATTTCTTTTTTATTTCTTAATATTAGCTACTATGTCATTCACATTATAAGACTTGTTCAATAGATTAGACTGAAAAAAAAAATTGAAATAATTTAAAAATATATATGTAACAAAATTTGTCAAATACTTTGATCGATCATAATAAGTGTATAGATATTGCCTTATTTGTATTTCCTTTTTAGTTGTTAACATTATGTTTCTATTTGGTGAGGATTAAAATTAGATTTTTAATAAAATTTTGATAAAATTTGATGAAATGAGTTGTTGAAAAGTTGTGGAATCCATGAAATATATAATTAAAATTGATTTTTGAATTTAACTTAAATTAAAATCTGAGTTAAAATCTGAATTTTAATCACTACCTAATAAGGGCCGAGTATTTCTAGATTTTGACTATTACTAACGTTCATTATTCACTACATCGAGAACCCATTTTCAATAT